TATACTCAATAATAATGATGAGATGAGAATTAATCTATTGAGCTATAATATCCTCATACAAGATGACAACTTCTATGATGTATGAGTTGAATGTAATAGAACTTTTTAATGAGCACAGAAAGGCTAGCTATGAGCAATGATGCTTTCTTTAGGAAAAGGAGGAGGTTCACAAAACTCTTATGAGATAAGACGGTCCGGTAAGCCGGGTATGTGTCTCGTTATATCTCCTAGTCTTCGAACCTATACTTCCAATATAGGGATATGGCGGGGTTAAATTCCTATGTACGCTAGAATGTTTTGGATCACTTTGGCCAGTGAGTCTACGTCTTTTCGGTGTGGGGGAGACACTGGATTTCATGACTATTACATGATCGATATATGTTAAGGTTAAATTTCGTAATAAAATAATGAGGCCAACCTCAAAGTATGAAAGATAATGAAATAAAGGATACCGAATGTGTTTGTGAAAGACAATCAAGAGGTAAAATCAGATTCAAGTAATGACATTAGGTCATTCTTGTTCATTGCACTTCTTAATCCCGATGAGAGTCTTAAACTTCATCCTAGGTATATCTTGTATTTACATCAGCCTATGAATGAATAAAATGAATAATGTGAAGTATGAATGAATGAATGAACCAAACTCTATGTTTGCTAAAGAAAGCCCTCGCAGTGAAGTCCTATAAGTTGGGCCCTCACTTGAGATGTCTTAATGTTACATCAATGATTCCAAAGCCTCCTGTATATGAAATGTATAATATATAACACATGAATGTTAAGAAATAAATTGTATGATCAATAAAGAATTGCATATAAAAGGTAATGAATATATAGTGTAAAGAATGTTTCATTATTAGGTAGGGAAATCATTCCTTATTCCTCGTATTACTTACTTGATTCATTGAGGGTATGAGACTACAATTAATCATTGCACTTGTAAATATAACATAGGATGAAACGCATTAATGAACTACACATCAAGTAGAAGAAACGGGATGAAAAATAAACTAAGGCTTGTGCCAATATTGGAGTATGAATATATGCCTCGTGATAATAACATTGTTAATAACTAATAAATGGGCATAGACAATAAAGATTGGCTTATAAATACATTAATACCCAATTTAAATATGATATTTCTCTTGCAATAAGGTATCCAATAATGGAGCATGGATTATGAATCAACTAAAGAATGGGCATAGAAAATAAATATTGGCATATATATATATATATATATAGTCATACCCAAGGGAAATAAGAACGAACAATCTAAAGTAGAGTAGCCGAATCATTTCCTCCATCTTGTGAATTAATTACCCTGGTTTGGATTATCAATTTTCCAAATATGAGCTCAAGTTATTCAAAAATTACGAGAATGATACTAATGTTTTGTAATCATATATAAAATGAGTTGTGTGCTTCGAATGCATTAAAAGACATCATACATATACATCAATTCACATATAAAGATCTAGGGAAGTTTAGTCACTAGGATTTCTAGAAATAGCTTGTTTTTAGGTAGAGTTTTATTTGATCATGCATAGTCTTATGTGTATGTGTGCATACACCCATACATTGTACAAGTGGTTTCCTACTATTCACCATTTTATAGATGTTGGTTAAGGGAAAGATTGACGACTCTTGAAACGGTTTGGACATAAGCGTTTCCCTAGACCATTTTGTAGGTCCTCTTGATTTTAAGGATGATACATTTTTCGTCAAGTCATGAATTGAAAAAAAGCTAGCAGATGTTTTCCCTAGCATTTCTTTCGTACTTTCATTTCGAAGATTTTATTATAAGACCTTGTTTGGCAAACATATTTATGATATAATCTTATTCTATTTCAAATTGATTCTTATGATTGATGGTTGTTATATTTATGTTGAGCTTAGTATATGATGAATTCAGGAAAGAACTATATGTAGTCTATGTATACTTCATACATTTAAAAGTTTTAAATTTTCCTCTAAAAATAACCATATGAATGTGATCAATGCAAGATGAGGCTATAGGACGATAGAGTTTTCCTTCTTCATTTTTCTAATCTCGTTCCATAAAACTCAACTCTATAAGATCTCCCTCTTGTGTCTCCTTGACCGGTGGTCTTTTCAATTGGATTGGGAAGATGTCTCAATGCTTGAGGGAGAAAAGGTGATTATGTTGTTAACCTTCATTTTTAGGTTTTATGAGTATATTTGATTGTGAATTTAGTATATGTTGATGTGATACCATTTATGGCTATAAGTAGTTTATAACAAATAAGATGTTATGTGGAGAAGTTATTATATGATATGATTATATGTTTTTAGCTGTTGTTATGGTTGAATTCATTTCCCCTTGGAATGATGTCTTGGGTTATTATAATGTAGGATTGTAGCATTACGTTATGATATAGGCTTGAAATGTCTTGCAAAATGTTGTATATAGTGATAACGATTACTGTTCCCTTTATATATGTGAAATACTTCACAATTTTTCTTTATTAGATGGGAATCTTTTGTAAAAGAGTGCTCCTACGGAGGGATGAGAGTGTGTTCTGCCTATTAAATTGATTTTGAAGTGTGCTAGTTAATGGGAGAACCCTTATGAATAGTTAACGATTCTCTTTATGAACCCATTCTAAGAGCGGAAAAAGGGGGGAAAGAAGTTTTATTCAATAACACAGAAGTATGATTACCCTAAGGTGACCTAGGGGAATGTACGGTATGTAACCCTTAGATTTGAAGAGAAGGAGTGAACTGAGGTTGACCTACTTCTTAAAGTGGATAGTTGTATTATATTTTTGAATTTAAATGTGGGGAATTGAGGAAGTGCTCATATTGTACCTAGGTATGGTTTGTTAGAATGTTCCACCAAAAGTGATGACCCTTGTAGGTTGGTCTTCACTTGAGCTGACCTTGTTGTTTAATTGCATGAGGTGTCGAATATTGAATAGGCTTACCTCATGAGATGGATAATGGGCATAGATGGTAAGATTTTAAGTGCCCGTGATGTCCCTACATTAAGTTCCCTTCAAATTATATAAGTTGAAAATCACAATGAAGTGATGGTAAGAAGGTGTTCATAAGTTTAGATCCCTAGAGAGGGATGGCGTGCTTAGATAATAAGAGTTGTAACCTAAAATTTCCCTATAGTTAAGATTATTTTCTGTTAAATAGATTTATCCTATGAATAGGACGATGATTGTAGTAGTAAGGTTGTAGATATCCCTATCTTTTCCTTCTATTCTTACTCAAGCTTGAACACAAAGAGATCTTAAATAGCTTTTTTATCAAAGGAGTCTTGCAAAAAAGAATAAGTTGCAAGTTTTTTATATGTTATGCATGTTTTAAATGATACTATGTTATGAAAGGTCATTATTGCATTAAAAGGGAATTTTTGAAAATTATGCATGTTGATCATATTCTTGTGCATCGTTATATGATAAATGTGCAATTTGATTTGAAGCGATAACTTAATGAGAATGATTGATATCACTCATATTGTATGATTTTTTTTCCTACTTATGAGAAATTGAGTCTCCTTTAAATATCAAAAGACGAGTCTCTTTGAAAAATATGTGACTCTAGAGATTTAGGGAGTGTTACTTTAGGCTCACTCTTTAAGAGTTATGGTTTGTCTACTCTATGTTTGTTATGGTGCCTATAAATTGTGATAAATTTCCCTAAATGATGTAAGTTTATGAAAGGTAGTGATGTGTTAGAAATATAAGGATGTAATTTTACTTTCTAATGTATAGATGTGCTTTGTGTAACCTACCATGTTGATTTCATAAGGAAGTAAGTATAAGCATAATGTGGTTTGAGTAAAGAAATCCTCCTTAATATGAATTCACCTCTATGCATTGCTTTATTATGAACTCTATGACGTCATGTGTATATGAATAGGAGAAAGTTTTCCCTCCTTGGGTAAAGCTAAGTGTGGTGATGTAATATGTGACCTTGATGATATTATATCTAGAATATAAGATTGTAGTCGATCTACATTATTCATGATTCCTGTATAACTATATGAATTGTTCAAAACATTCTCATGAGTTGAATTGTGGATTATGGGTATATGTTCAATTGAAATCCATTTTAAATCTAACATTGTTATGAAATAATGAACACGCCTAAATTTGGAGAAGGTAGTTCCTCCAAATGGAAATGAACATGAAGAAGTATGTTTGCATGGATTGAACTGTAGAAGTAGACCATGTTTGATTATGTTTCTTTGGTTGCATGATTATATGAAGTTAGAGTTTCGTTGTATGTTTGGTGACTATTATGTGATAGCATATTAAATTGTTTGAGCTTATATAAGACTCATTGAGTCCTTGAAAGTGTTTAAAATGCTACAAGTGTCATTCTAGGATGAATGATTCAAAGTTGGGGGTATTGTTACACCGTCAAAATGAGCTATGTTGAATTAGAGCCTAAAATGATTATTATGAGTTTATTATGTCATTATGTAATAACCCTAAATTGACTATGCTAATGTAATAACTAAAGTATCTAGAATGCCTAGATTAGACCGGGTTCACACGAATTGATACGCGTAGGAACATACCTCTTAACCGGACTTTAAAAGGGGTTATCTTAAGTTTGGAGGGTCTGGGGATAAAATTATCTTTCATAGTCAAACGGTAGTATAATAATTATCCTAAAATTTAATTAATTATTTAATTAATATGCTTCGGAGGCAATTCTAGTAGAGGTTACAGAATGTGACCCTTTAAGGAAAATCTAGTTCCACCCTGATTTGAGCCTCGGTGGAAGCAAGGATTAAATTGAATTAATTTTATTAAGTGAATTATTTGAATTAATTAATATATAAAATTCTTATTTAACTAAGGGAAAAATCTGATTTTTAATAAATAAATAATAATAATAAAATTAATAAATAATTAGGAATCCTAATTTGACTAAGTCTCCACCTAACTCTCCTAATCTTATTCCTCTCATATTCACATATTTCACTCTCATTTTCACGTTTTATATCAGTAAAATAACTGAAAATAATAGTTCTTCTCTCTTGAAGAACTTACACACAAAATCTGAACAAAAAGTGAAGCTAAAACTGAAAAATCAAAAATATTCTTATCGACGTATTATGTTTGCTATATTTTGTGGTGAGGCAGTATTGTTATGGGAAATGCCGACATTGAATCAAGTATTGAACGACATTAAGGTATGGGTTTTCTTTTTTCTTGGTCTTTTTCCCAAGAGACCCTTAAGGTTCAGTTTAATCACAATTGAAAAATCAAGGTTGTCCCCGTTGCATGCCCCTATCATTAGATCCTTTGAATGATTAGAAACATGCGTTGGTATGTCTTATGCTAGATACTTTTAGGTATGGTTTTGAGTATGTGTTGAATGTATATTCGCAAATTATGTAAGGGATGAAAATTATATTCTGGAAAAGTATATTAAGTTGAATGTTTTGAATATGTGTGTTCTGAATATATACAATGTTAACTGCCTTATAGTTGTATGTTAAAACGTTGTGTTTCGCGTGTATAAAAATGTTTAAAATGCGATGTTTATATAAGGTTAAGGCGGCTAACTGAATGTCACCTAAAATAATACAAAAATAAACATAAAAGATTAGAGAAAAAAGAATTCAAAGAGGACATAATTTCCAGCTTGCTGGAAATGTTGGTCTCGGTCTATATTTTGGAGTTGGAGATATGTTTTAAAATTTTATTTAAAATCTGTGGTCATTAGAGATTTAAACGAAGTCTTCACCTAATGAAAATTACATACAAATTTCATGAGCAAAATGAAAATAAAAATAGATGTGATGAGTGGAAATTGAACCCACAACCTCTTTAATGGATGAGAGAGTTTGGAGAAAAATATAGGATAAAATAAAATGTGGAGAGTGGGGATTGAACCCACAACCTCTTGAATGGATGAGAGAATTTGAGGAAAAGTAAGGAGAAAATAATGTTGGAGAGTGGGGATTGAACCCACAACCTCTTGGATAGGGGAGAAAGTTAAGAGATAAATTACAAGACAAGTAATGAGCTTGTGAGGGAATTGATCCAAAAACCTCCTTGCCTTAAATCATTAAAGGCGTGGAGAACGGGATAGAAATGTTATGGGGTTGACTAGAATTAACTAGGGTCTCCCAAATATAAAAATGAAATTATCAAGTTTAAAATAATATTAAGTGTTGTCCAAGATATTCAAAATCAGGTTCCCTTGCCCAATTCTCTATTGATACATAAGTCATACGTAAACAAATATTTAATAAATGCCACCTCTGAAGATCGAAATTAATATCTTGGCATATCTACAAGATGCACAACTCTTTTACCACATAATCTTGGGTAAACATGAATGACTTGCACACACTATGAATGAAGCCTCATTGCTTGTATGTGGGGACTCATAAGTCAAGCATACGTTTAAAAAATAAGTAGCCAAATATGTATGTGATAAAATGATGTAACCTTAGAAGGGTTAAGTAAGAGTGTGAAACACACTAAATGGCCAAGTCCATTTTCATATGATGGAATAAGCATTCACATTAAGGGGTGAGTAATTATGAAAAACAAATGTGTTAAAGTTAATAAATAAGGTGACAATATGATAAAAGGATAATGTGACATATTATAGCAATCTCAAATGAGCCTAAGTATATATTACCAAAATGTATTCACCTATGAGAGTGTAAAGTAAATGATTAGACAAGTCTCTATGAACACTCCAATGAAATTACTGACGTTAATGCACACTTAATACTAATGATGAGATGATAAATTATCTATTGAGATATGATGTCCTCATGCTAGAATCCAACATCATTGGTGTATGACTTAAATATAATAGAACTTGATATAGAGGACCGATAGGCTAGTTATGAGTGGTGATGTCTTCCTTCGGGAAGGGTAGAGGTTCACTTAACTCTCGTGAGATGAGAATATTGGGCATTGCCAGATATGGGTCTCCTTATATCTCCTAGTCTTTCAATCTATACTTTTTTTGTAGATATCTAGCAGGGTTTAGTTCCTCATATATGCTAGCATGTTTTGGTTAACTTTGGCCGGTGATTCCGACTCTTTTTTGTGTGCGTATTACACACCGGATTTCATGAAGCTCACATAATTTTTGTCGGTTATGGTTAAAGTTCCCAAAGAAAGAATGAGGGAAGCCTCAAGTAATGCACATAATGAAATGAATGATACCATAGGTCTTAGGATAATCAAGAGGTGAGCTAGACTTAGGTAATAACACTAGGTCATTGTTGTTCATTGCATAGAGAACCCAAAGAAAATCTTAAACTACATCCTAGGTATGGCCGGTGTTTACACTAGCTTATAAACGAATGAAAATGAAGTATGTATGAATAAATAATGCAGACTCTGTGTTTTCTAAAGCAGGCTCCTTAGTAGAGGTTTCATATGTTGAGCCCTCTTTTTGGGAAGTCCTAATGTCAAGTCAATTTCCAAGGTCTCATGTAATATGAAAGAATGATATGAAATATGTTATATGCTAGTAAGAAATATATTATGTGTTGTGTGCAATATGTTATTTATGATGATGCATGTTACTCTCATAGCATGACTTTCCTAATCCGATTTTAGCAAGTCCACTTACTTGACTTTCCATAATTCATATTATTACGAGAGAGATCTTCTTAATCATGCATATCATGTGTGCTTTTATATTCCCATACTTAGTACAAGTGTGTTCTAATCCCATGAAACTCTGTACTCTTAGGTGCAGGTGTCGTTGACTAAGTCTCCACATAACTCTCCTTATCCTAATCCTCTCATTCTCACGTCTCTCACTCTAATTCTCACATTTTTTTATCATTAAAATAACTGAAAATAATTTTTCTTCAGTCTTTAAGAACTTACACAAAAATACATAAACAAAAACCTAAGCTAAAAAAGAAAATCAACATTATTCTTCTCGACGGATTGTGTTTCAGATTTTGTGGTGAAGCAATGGTGTCGTGTGAATTGACTGCATTGAAACAAGTGTTGAATGATATTAAGTTATGGTTTTTCTTCTCTCTTGGTCCCTTTGCAAAGAGACCCTCAAGGTTCAGTTTAATCGCGATTGAAAAACTAAGGTTGTCCCCGTTGCATGCCCTTGTCATTAGATCCTTTGAAAGATTCAAAGCATGCATTGGTATGTCTTCTTGTAAATAATTTTAAGTTTGGTTGTTATTATGTGTTGAATGTGTATTCGGAAATCATGTGAGGGATGAAAAATACATTCCGGAAAAGTATATTAAGTTAACTATTTTGAGCATGTGTCTACTGAAACTTTACTATGTTTGCTGCCTGAAAATTGTATGTTAGAATGTTGTATTTTACGTGTATAAAAATGTAAAAACCGTGATTTTCATGTAAGTTTAAGGTGGCTGACTGAATGTCACTCAAAATACTACAAAAATCAACATAAAAATGAGAGAAAAACGAATTGAAAGAGGACAAAATTTCCAGCTTGCTGGAAATGTTGGTCTGGGCCTATATTTTTGAGTTGGAGCTATGTTTTAAAACCTTATTTAAAATGTGTGGTTATTAGGGATTGAAACCAAGTCTTCACCTAATGAAAATTACATAAAAATTTAATGAGAAAAATTAAAATAAAAATAGATGTGATGAGTGAAAATTGAACCCACAGCCACTTGAATGGATGAGAGAGTTAGGAGAAAAATAAAGGAGAAAATAAAAGTTAATGTGTTAATGTTAATGAATAAGGTGACATTATGATAAAAGGATAATTTGACAGATTAAATGTCAAATGATCCTAAGTATATGTTACCAAAATTTATTCACCTATGAGGGTGTTATGTAAATGATTAGACCAGTCTCTATGAACACTCTAATGAAATCATTGAAGTTAATGCATACTCAATACTAATGATGAGATGATAAATCATCCAGTGAGCTATGATGTCATCGTGCTAGAAGCGAGCTTCCATGATGTACGATTTTAATGTACTGGAACTTATATTGAGCACTAATAGGATAGCTATGAGCGGTGATGCCTTCCTTCGGGAATAGAGGAGGTTCACGTAACTCTCATGAGATGAGATTGTCCCGGATGCCGGGTATGAGTCTCCTTATATCTCCTAGTCTTTTAATCTATACTGCCAATATGGGGATCTAGCAGAGTTCAATTCCATATATACACAAGCACATTTGGTTTCACATTGGACAGAGTAAGTGTGAAACATATATTCTCCATGAGCAATGTCTTAAGTATGATAAAATATTTATGAAAATAACCCTCTTTATTTTAAAATAATGTGTAGTGTCATTTAGGGAGGAATGTACCGGGGGGGGGGATAATATAACAACCGTAAATGACTATACTAAATAATGCCTAATGTATCTAAAATACTTTGATTAGACTGGGTCCACATGAATCGATGCGCTTAGAACCAGACCCCTTAACATCTGCAACAACCAAGATAACTAACTTGGTGAGTGTGTTTTTCTAGGAAAGGTTGGTTTCATCCATGTAGGGCACCAGAGTATGAAGATTTACCCGGATGAGTCTTACCCGGAATTAAAAAGGTGTAATCTTATGTTTGGAGTGTCTAGGTATAAAATGTTGTTTTCCACGCTATGTGTAGTATTGTAATTTCCCTATATATTTAATTAATTAATATGGTGGAGGGGCAATTGGGGAAGTGGTTGCCACATTCGACCCATTAAGCAAAACGTAGCTCCACCAGGGTTCGAGCCTTGGTGGAAGCAAGGATTAAATTGATTTAATTTTATTAAGTGAAATAGTTGAATTAATTAATATTTAAAAATCTGATTAAATTAATGGAAATATATTATTTTCAATAAAATAACAATAATAGTAAAATTAATAGATAATTAGGAATCCTAGTTGAACTAAATCTCCACCTAACTCTCTTAATCCAAATCCTCTCATTCTCACATCTATCACTCTCATTCTCACGTTTTTTACCATTAAAATAACTGAAAATAATTGTTCATTACTCTTGAAGAATTTACACACAAAAACTCAAACAAAAATCTAAACTAAAATTGAAAATCAACAACATTCTTCTCGATGGATTGTGTTTAGGATATTTGTTGTTACGAAGTGCTATAGTGGAAATTCATAGCATTGAAAAAAGTGTTGAAGGACATTAAGGTATGAGTTTTATTCTCTTTTGGTACCTTTCCCAAGATACCCTTAATGTTCAGTTTAATCACGATTGAAAAACTAAGGTTTTCCCTGTTTCATGGCCCTGTCATTATATTCTTTAAAAAATTCAAAGCATGCGTGTGTATGTGTTTTGGGAGATAATTATAAGTCTTGTCGTGATCATGTGTTAAATGTGTACTCAGAAATCATGTAATGGATGAAAAATACATGCCGGAAAACTATATTTAGTTGACTGTTTTGATCATGTATGTACTGAACATTTATTATGTTTACTGCTTGAAATTTTTATGTTAAAATGTTGTGTTTCGCATATATAAAAATGTTAAAAACGTCATATTCATATAATTTTAAGGTGGCTGACTTAATGTCAGTCAAAATACTGAAAAATAAACATAAAAAATAAGAGAAAAACGACTTGAAAGAGGACAAAATTTCCATCTTTTGAAAATGTTGATCTCAGCTTATATTTTGGAGATGGAGATATCTTTTAAAATTTTATATAAAATGTGAGGTCATTGGAGATTGAACCAAAAACCACAAAAAATGAAAATTACATAAAAATATCATGAGGAAAATGGAAGGGAAAATAGATGTGCTGAGTGGGGATTGAACCCACACCTCTTAAAATGATGAGAGAGTTAGGAAAAAATAAAGGAGATTATAAAATGTGGAGAGTTGTGATTGATCCCATAATCTCTTGAGTGGATGAGAGATTTAGGAGAAAAATAAAGGACAAAATAGAATGTGGAGAGTGGAATTGAACCAACAACCTCTTGAATTGATGAGAGTGTTAGGAGAAAAATAAAGGAAAAATAAAATGTGGAGAGTGGGGATTGAACGAACAAGAAAGAAATATCATGGGGTATATTGGAATTGATCTAGGGTCTTCCAAATCTGAAAAAAAAAATGCTATAATGAAGTTTAAAATAAGATTAAGTGTTTTTCAAGGGATAAGAAATCGGGTTCCCTTTCCCAATTCCGTATTGACACATAAGTCATACATCAACAAATATTTAATGAATGCTGCCTCTAAAGATCGAAATCATTATCTTGTCATATCTACGAGATGCATAAGTCTTCTACTACATAATCTTGTCATATCTACGAGATGCATAAGTCTTGTACCACATAATTATAGTTAAAAATGAATCACATAGAAAAACTATGAATGAAACCTCATGGCTTTTATGCTTGGACCCATAAGTCTATCATACTTTTAAAAGTATGTGATCTTAAGATATATGCGATAAGACTATATAACCGTAGAAGGGTTAAGTAAGAGTGTGAAACACACTAAATAGCCATGTGCATTGGCATATGATGAAATGACCATTCTCGTGAAGGGGTGAGTACTTATGAATAGAAAATCTCTTAACGTTAATAAATGAGGTGAAAACATGATAACAGGCTAATGTGACATATTAGTGCAATCTCAAATGAACCTATGTAAATGTTACCAAAACGTACTAACCTAAGAGAGTGCAAAGATATTGAAGAGACCATTCTCTATGAACACTATAATGAATATATCGAAGATAATGCATACATAATACTAATGATGAGATGAGAAATCATATAATGATGTATGATGTCATCATACAAGAACCCAACTTCCAATATGTATGAGTTTAATTTAACAGAACATTATACTTAGCACCGATAGGCTAGCTACGAGCGGTGATGCCTTCCTTCGAGAATGGTGGAGATTCACGTTACTTTGATGTGATGAGACTGTCCAACATGTTGTGCATGGGTATCCTTATAAATTATAGTATTTGATCCTATACTTCCAATATAAAGATCTAGCAGGGTTCAATTAAATATATATGCAAGCATGTTTTGGTTCTGTTTGGCCGGTGATTCCACCTCTTTTCGGTGTGGGGATAACACATTGGATTTCATTATTCTCATATGATCTATGTCGGTTAAGGTAAACATCCCAAAAAAAGAATGTGGTCAGCCTCAAGTAATGCATATAATGAAATGAATGATACCAAAAGAGTTAGGATAGGATAATCAAGAGTTAAGCTAGACTTAAATAATTACAGTAGGTCATTCTAGGTCAGTGCACAACGAACTAGATAATAGTCATAAACTACATCCTAGGTATGGTTTGTGTTTAAACTAGCTTACAATCTAATGAATATGAAGTATGTATCAATGAATAAAGAAGACTATGTGTTTACTAAAGAAGGCTCCCTAGTTGAGATCCCATATGTTGAGGCCTCATTTTGGGAAGTCCTAATGTCATGTCCATGATTTCAAGGTCTCATTTCATATTGATGAATGATATGAAAAATGTTATGTGCTAATAAGAAATATGTTTTGTGTTGTATGCAATATGTTACGTATGATTATGCATGTTACTCTTATTGCATGACTTTCCTAATCCAATTTTTGCATGTCGAATGACTTGACTTTTCATAATTCATATCATAGGAGAGAGCTCTTCTCAATAATGAATGTCCTTGATGTGTGCTTGAATATACCTATACTTAGTACATGTGTGTACTTATCCCATACCACTCTTTTTTTAAGATGCAGGTGTCAGTGAACGCTACAACATTGCGCGACTATGCTGAAGTTATCCGTCTGTGGAGAATTCATCCGGACATGGTAGTCCCTCTCGCTTTCTAGGATGCATATCTTTTATATTCTATATTACATGTAGGCATGATATAGTGGAGGATCTTCCACCAGCGTTTCATTCTCACTTATTTCAGACATTGTAAATGTGAAATATCTCCAAGTATAAATTTTAATGCATTTATGACCTATTTCATTCATTTATGTATCTTGGTATTGCATGATTGTTATGAACGATTAAAAACTGCTGTAGATAAATCTAATATGAGTACAATGTATCCTGCTATGAAGTATATGTATACTTGAAGTAACTAAATGTTTTAATTTTTTGCATAAATTAACCTAGATAATGTAACGATGACGTTGTATGCTTGTCTGCAACCTCTGAGAGGTCAACGACTTCTATTTCGGGTGGGTTATGTTTTGAGGAGTTTGGAAGTCAAACGTCCAAGATGTTCAAAAGTTTTTCCTCGAATCGTGCTTGTGTGTCTTAGTATGTTTTCGTCAATTTTTATGTCTTGTTTTGAGATCAAATTTCCGTGAGAGGTTACTAACATGTTAGATTAGATTAATTAATGTGGAAACGTCAGGTAGAAATTCCCCATGGACCGATGAAATTGGCCTACTTGAGGACCCAAGTGTTGGTCTAGCATGGTGCGCAAGTCTACAACATTTGGTCTTTGGGGGAACCACTCCGCATTGCCAACATCGTCTACCAAGAATAGAAATGTTTATCCATGTCGCAAATATGGCACACTCCACTGGTTTAATAATTTACTCCAAAAATAATGCGCGAACAACTCCACATCGCGGACTTCTTACCCGATGAAGTTTCTGAAAATTGAAGTTGAGTTTGACATGATTAAAAGCCCTACTAAATATGGGGGTGTTTTGGTAACTTCACGTGACAGTTATAGACTTATTTAAAGACCTATTTAAACCCTTTACCATGTCAAAACCCCAACACTAATTAGAAAAATTAAAACCCCAAAACTCTCATCTCTTTCTAAAATTTCCTAAAACCTCATTGGGAGACCAAAACGTAAGATCAACCTAGCAGCTGGATTTCTATTGTTTATCCTCCATTTTTTTGGTCTTCCATCTGTAGTGTATGGTGATCATTCATCCTTAGCTATGCATTCATCTAAGGAGTTAAATCAATTATTTTCAAAAGTTATTCAAAGACAAAAAAATCAAAATTTTAAATATAGGCATGGGTTCATTGTCAATTTTATTTCAAAGTCATTATAATTATTGATTCATGTTTAATTACTCTATTAATTATGAATTATAATACAATTTTATGAAGAACTTATGATCCTCCTAATTTATCAAATTGGCCTATAATGTGGGGCTTTTGATCTTTATTTCATGTGTTATAGAATTGTGATTAGATTGTATTTAATTTCTTATTTTTATAATTATAAATATCAATTGTTAGGATTTGGTGTGGTATATATGGATATTTATAATGAATATTCTTGTAGAATGACCCTACCCTTTGAAAACCCTATATAAGGTGTGATGAGATATTTGTAAGAGTGTTCTATTATAATGTAGAATATGTTGTTGTCTCCTATAGTGTCATATATCTATGTATAACATGATACTTGAGGAATGTTGTATATGTGTTGTAATCTATAGAGGATGGCTTCCTCAATACTATATCAGCCGATACGCTATCATATTAACCATTGTAAGCATACAGTTCATGCATGACTATAAACAGGGTAGATTCGTGATGATTAAGGAAATGATAGTTATCCTATGCATCATTACCTATTTCTATGGAAGTATGCATATGATTAATGAAGCGATGAATTTCTGTGACTAGAGGTGTTTATGTAAAGGTATATATCATAGTTTCTACACACACACATGATGTATGATTGAATGAACATGTGAAAGGAAATTCTCATATGAAGGGCGGTCTATGATGACACAACATTCTAATCTTAGAATCCTTTGAGAAATATGATTTATAAAGGAAAAATCTCCTAAATCCTTATTTTTGAATCAATACACTAAATGCATAAATATATGTAAAAGGGGAGTTAGATCCTATCACCGAGTGAACATGACAAATGAGATTAGGAGTTTCACGTTAGTAAATACCGCTTCCCACAATAGATTTTTCATGTTTAGCATGTACAGTTCCCAATATATATGTTATCTCATGAGATGGAAACCTCCAATATAAAAAGTAAAGGGTTGTAGAAGCAATCTCCACATTCCATAACTACGTGACCCCGTAGGTTATAGATTTTTTATAACACTTATACAACTATGTTCTAACCGTTGCAGCATAGGCGTGTGATAACCCTCTCTTTTCAGTGTAGGAGTACAAACTCGGAATCTATATAGTTCACATGGTCTATGTCGGTTATGGCTATGTATTCAGATGGTTAGTAAATTGAATAAGATATGAATATGAATTCTAATCTAAATTCCTTGTGAAATGCACTTAGCATAGGTAGGACGAAAGACCTTATCTATGCATTGCAGTACATGACTTTAACAAAGGATGAGATTTGACCCTCTTATGAATAACTTCAAGAGAGGATAGGGTGGGACCCTCTTATGAAGTAAAGACTTGTGTTATGTATGAATTTTATCAATGCATGTTAAGTGAATTTATTATGTTAGGATATGAATTACATTTATGCATTTGAATTTAAGTTATGGCTTCTAGATGAGTTTACTTACAATATGTGGGGTATTGGACTCCATGTATACATTGCACAACTAATCTTTTAAAGGGTTTATAACGGTTGTTTACTTATGGCTTTAACTATAGGATTTATGACAAAGGTTTTAGTAATGTAAAGAGTCTTTATATGATGCTATGGAGTATGTTGCCTTATGGTTAGTTATAAATAAAAGTATTATGACTTGTTAAGTATGTTATGCCTAGTCTAGGGTGAATTCTTAGGTACACTTTGTGGAGGTAGTATTATGGGATTCTATCTATACATTGCACTAGTGAGACCTAGGAGTTATCTTAAGTGATGGTCTTTATGTGAAGTTGATGTCTATAATGCACGTATGACTTGTGAATAAATGTGGTTGTGTTTTTGAAGCATATCTATTAAAGACTGTTGTAAGGTGACCTCAATGTGATACATTGTAGAAGGTACAATTGAGGGTAACGTGAGAAAAAAAATAATATAAAAGAGAGGTAATGTATTGTATGTATTGAATATGTCTCAAAGTATGATAAATGGCTTTATGTGTTATTATGAGTTTATTCATGTCTATATATGTAAACTATATCGAGCTTATATCTGCCTATATTCATGAAGTTCACTAAAAAGACATGTTGCTTAATTTCAGATGAAATGTCCGCTTAAATGCATGTTTTTGCATGCTTGCCATACTTAGTGCATGCTTTTACTAATACAATTGTTCTTCATCTTATTACAAAAAGTATAGGTGGTGATAGCTTGAGAATGTTTCCTAAGTGAAGATCTTGGATAAATCTCCCAAGTTCTTGTAAAGGGACCCTTATGACTCAAGGCTTGCCTATTTCAAGGTGTTTCTTTAATTTGATGTAATAGCTTACATATTATTTTATGTTGTTATGGGTCGTGTCCCTATTCTACTATATTGGTGTTTAAACTAAGAGGGCAAAGTGACTTACAGTATAATAATGTGTGTGTGTGTGTGTATATATATATATATGAAGTGTTGTTATAACATATCATGCACTATAAAAAGTTTAAAATGTGAACTATTGCTACAATTATGAAATGAAATATGTCTAAGGGCTTGTCTTAGACCTACGAGAGGTTGACTACATGGTGTGATGATTTGAGGATACCATAGGTTCTAACGGCAAGGCAAGCAAATGCACGACCGTATTGGAGGCTTTCTCTCATAAGAATCTCACAAAACAGGGAAAGAGAATGAACTAGAACAAAGCGGATTTTTTTCATTAATAGCCGTTACATGGGAATACATCACGGTATACCATCGCGTCGTAACAGTACTAGAGGGTATCCCATATGATTAGAATAGTCAATATCTGATATTAACCATACTAACTAGGCATTGAATCTGGAGTCATGAACCTACTAGATAGATGGTGTTCTACTAATTAATGGCAGAACTTGGAAACATCCTTTCTAGGCACATGGTTTAGGAATTTTAAGGGTTTCTTTGTACTCTAGTCATATCCTTCACTAGAACTACTTCCCAAACAATACTCACTCGGTACTAGCCTTTTGTCTCCTATAGTATTCAATAAACGAGTGCATGAAGAGGTTCATATCTAGTTCATAACCCAATCATATTTACCATACTAAGACACAAGATACTTCGCATCTAACAAATCATTCTATAAGAACATCAGATCAACCAAGCTTACTTACTAGTCATCCTACACACTTCTATAATATCATCAATAAAACCATCATAAGACTCACATATCCAATTGGGAAGAATCATGCGTCAACTCTAACAGTACACAAATAATTACATAGTCATAGTATAACATGATTACCTAACAACATCAATAGAAGAACACATACTTAAACCTTAATCATATGTATATTTATATGATTATACTTCACATAACAAACTTCACCAAATCATCATAATACATCAGGTAATTATCGATAATTCTATGATCTTCAAAATACATAAATTAATGTTATGGAGGCCACATTAGTTACAAATAAATAACACACCACCGCCACCATAAGTGGATCATAATAGAATAATTCAAGACCTACTTAATACAAAATAATGAGAATCGGGTAAGCGTACCACCTATCCGTTCTCACCAATTTAATTCATAGCTAAATAATCCAATACAATATCAAAAGTCTCTTGCATATCCATGATAATCAATTAAATACAAATATCATAATACTCTTAGATATATATTTATCAATCTAACAAACCTAGAAATAAATTTAATACAATTCTTACATCATTCAATAGACCAATGAAAACTATACTAGAATTCATAAGCGTTAAGATAATGTCAATTAACCCATATATTAGTAAAAAACTATGATTCATGGATTTCATGGGTTCATAGGTTAATTGTGTTAAAAAAATACAAGTAACAACAGTACATCAATATAAAATGATTCAAAACATTTATTTCAAGGACCCCTTGATTGATCATAATCTTGGACAAGTTCATATTAATAAACTTTAGAAAACTCTTTGAATTTGGGGGTCCTTGAAGAAGAGAGTTTTATATTTATCAAAAATCATACGTCAATGAAGATAGATCACGAATATGATAAAGAATCACCTATCAAATCTTCAATCAAG